ACATGTAATCTTTCTTTCATTTGATACAAATGCATGTTAATTAACTACTTTATGTATGATTTTCGTTTGTTTTGACCGATTATTTTTGTGTTATTGTCCTTCATAGGTGCATTCTGCTTTCTCTTTCACTAGTGACGACACTTTATTCCGACGAACCCACCTTTTGAAGGTTAGTTTTCGTTTTCGTTTTGAAGAACTTATTTGTTGAACTTGTTTGTTGTTTTTTTTGTTAAACTTGTTTGTTGTTGTTTGGTTGAACTTATTTGTTGTTGTTGTTTGATTGAACTTGTTTGTTTCTTTTTTTATTGTTATTTGTTGTCGATACTACACTACATGTTCATAGTTCATGCTTTATAAAATACAAAAAACTGAAGTTTGTTGTTTTTGTGCTTTCCAAGTCTAGTGGAATTGTAAAAAAGGATCACAATTAATTAAAAAAACAAAAAAAAATTATTAACATCTTATATTGACAAAATTCGACGTTAATTTAACTTTTTATATTGACAAAATGTCAAATTTTTTAAATTTGACATCAATTTAACGTCTCCCAATATGACGTCGGTCTCAAATTTGACGTAAAATGCCCAAAATATTCGATGTTGTATGCTATTTTTGTACTAGTGTATATTTAGTCTATCAAATTGAATTTTAAATCTAAAATTCATTTTTTAGTGAATACAATTAGAAATAAAAAGAACTTATTTCAGTGTGTTTACACAAAACATTGTGCGTGAACATAGTTAGGACAAATATTTTAAAAGGGAAACAAATATTTGATGTGATAGAATCCATAAAATAAGAGCAGATTATTATACAAATAGTTGTAATTAAAATATGTTTTTTAATTTCAAGGACCAAAAAGAATGAATTTTAATTTTAGGATATTAAAAATTATAACTAAAAGTGAATGAGTTTATTATAAAGATATGGAAAATACATTCTTCTACAAATTTTAATAAATTGGTCCCTTTTTTTAAATTATTTAACTAACATTCTTAATTAAAAAATTAAATAAAAGTTGAATGATGATAGAAGGAGCTGTTAAGGTAAAAGTCAACAAGAGTGGCTAAGTAGCTGCTAATGCAGCACCACCACCACTCTCTTTCCTTCAATTCTCTAACCCAATTATTAACATTAACTAGCCACGTTCCACTTTAAACAAACCAAACGCACCCCGTCCAAGTCCTCTTCTCGATGTGACGTCGTTTCACCTTCCCCAGAACCACCACCACCACTACCACCCCCACTCACTCACCCACACTATTTCTAATCCAACAAACCCGACCCAAAACCTCACTTTCTCTCTTTCTCTCTCTAACATGGACCAAGGCCAGCGCCATGTCAGCGCCACCAGCGCAACTAACAGTCCCGTGCTCCGCTGCACCACCGTCTGCACTCTCCCCTTCGCGCGCCTCGTCGCCGCCTCCCGCCGCCGCCTCTTCCTCTCTGACTGTGCAGACGGTCGATCCGACGACGACGACGGCGCTGAGTGCGGGTACTCACGAGCGGTGTTGGTCCTCGACATGGTCTGGAACCTCGCCTTTGTCGTCGTTGCCGCCGGCGTCCTCCTCTCCACGCTTAGCGAGCGGCCGTCCACGCCGCTCAGACTCTGGCTCTGCGGCTACGCGTTCGAGTGCGTTCTTCATATGACTTTCGTCTTCTTTGAGTTCCGCGTCGGAGTTCGCGATTCCTTTGCTCACACTACCTATTGGTAAATACTCTCTTCACTTCACTGCCACTAGTTTTTTCTTCAATTCCTGCCTCGACAAATGATTATTTTAATTTTAATTTTTTTTTTAAATTATGAATATTTTTCTGTTGAATTATAATCTTTTTAATTGACATGTTCGTGTGTGTGTGTGTGTGTGAGAGAGAGAGAGAGAGGGAGAGAGGGAGGGAGCTATGACTAGTAGCTATCTGATGTTCGAAATTAGATATGTGATGATGTTGATTTGGCGTGCTGCGATGATGATTCCTTTCTAATGGTGAATGAAATTGAAGTTAGGGAGAGTTTTTCTGAGGGTACAATTGTTCTAAAACGTATTTCTTACTGTTATAAATTATTTGTGATTGGGAAATTATTGCTTTCTAAGATTGGTCATGGATTGTTATTGTGCATTGGAGAAGCTGACTGGCGATGGAGCTGACTTGATTTTCAATTATTGTTGAGAAATTGTGATGAATGCGTGGAAGGGGACGTTGCTTGTTTTTAGTCGAGGCTGTTTTTGTTTCAGATATTGAGACTTGATACCTCGTTGTGATGAACTAAATGTTGTAAGGAGAAGAGTTTGTCGATAGCTATTGCAGAGTGTCTGTTATTAGAATATTCTTTCTCCTTCACTGTCTTTAGAAGAATAATGGTCCTTAGTTGTTATGTGTGTTTTCCTTTCAATTCTATGCATTGGAAGATAGTTGAACTCTCATTTCACTCTATTCTTTTTGTTTTTAGCATTGTGAAGAAGCTAGAGCCCATAAACACTCTGGCATCGTCTGTTTGGTGGGTGTTTGGATTTTATTGGATTGTTGTTGGTGGCCAAGCACTTTTGGAAGATTCTCCGAGGCTCTACTGGTAAGTAAGAACCTTAATTTGGATTATGTTTTGCTTTTCTTGTTTTTTAGGGGGGACCAAGGGGTGTTTGATAACCAAAGTTATTATGTATACCAAGAAAGAATAAAAGAAGTGGTTACAATTTGTACAGCTGGGTAAACTTTTTATTTACTTTTCTTTGATGTAAAACAAAAGTTTAAAAAAAAATCAGGAATTCTACTTCTCAAAAGTTCTTCCTTAAGTGAGTCCTGGAGAGAATTAGATGGAATCGAAGTTTATACTTAGAAATTTTGCTAAATGGATTATTGTAGAAAGTTCAACCTTGAATTGAATGTCATACAATTATATAAGCAAGGGGAATAAAATTAAGAGAATATTAATTCTTACATGTCTTCCCGCAATTAATTTGTCTTGATCTCACTTATTTCAATTAGGATAAATTTGTAATTCAATATGTGATGGGCCTATGGCTCATGTATTGGAGAAGAAAGGGAGGGACAGATTAAACAATGACGATGCCCTGCAGGCATATGGCAGGTTGAAAAAGGATTGTGCACGGGCAGTGGAGATAGGAAAGTGATTAGTGAAAGGAGCAATGGAGTGGAGGAATTAATAGGAATATATAGGGAAGAAAATAATAGCATGAACTGGTGGCTATGATAAATGGGGCAGTAGGCTGTGGGATATCATAGAATTTGGCATAGGCTGTGGGAGACTGGGTAGCTTTTGAAGTTCTGCTCAATTCTGCTTCTTAGTGCTCTGTTCTTTTCTATAGTTCTTGTTTGTTGTTTCTACCCTATAGAGGACTTTCTTCCGATGTAAGGATCCTGAGTAGCCTTTGTTAGATAAATAATACCTGAATTTCTGTTTCTATTAGTATAATGTATGGTTTTGTTCTAAATTTCTTTGTTTCTTTCAAATATTGGGAGAATTGAAATGAAGTCAAGCACGATCCTCCTTCTCTTCTTTAAGAAATCTTTATTATTTCTCAATTCTATTGGCCAGATAATTTACATTTATCATGCTTTTCCAACCCTGAAATATGTTGATGAAATTTAATATTTAATAACTGTGAAATGATATGACCCATAGTTAGGACTGGAGACCAGCAAGCTTCATTATCTTGATATTTTACATATAATCCTTACACTGAAATTTGGAGTTACCTTTTCCATGACACGGCGGTATTGTTGCATAAGGAAGTATTTTTTGATAAAGGTTCCCAATTTCTTGTTTATGATCATATATGCTCTTGAGGAGTTGTAGTTGCTGACTATTTCAAACTAGAACCGTATGTGTCGAGCATGTATGCTTGACTCTGTATTACTGGGAATAGACACCTCGATGAGCTTATTACTTCAGACTCTAAAAAAGGTCATCCCCGCCGGAAAAGTAATATAGTTAAATACAAGTATATGTAACTATTTTTTAAGCATATATATATATATATATATATATATATATATATATATATAACTAATTCACCAACTGTTTACTTCATCATCTAATTTAGTTTAGTGTTATGTTTTCCGGTGGTGTATTGAGTGTTTGGGATGCTCAATAATATATTTATCACATTTGTGCAGGTTAACAGTGGTCTTTCTAGCCTTTGACATATTTTTTATTATCTTTTGCATTGGGATGGCATGTGTAGTTTTCTTTGCTCTCTTCTGTATCATCCCAATAATAGCACTAGCTTATGCTATGAAAATCAGAGAAGGCGCATCAGAAGAAGATATCAGGTCACTTCCTATGTATATGTTTAGTCAGTCAAATTCATTGGTGATGGTTGATGACAACAAGAAACAGCTTGTTAACACAAAAGTAGATTCATGCAATGGAAGCCATATGAGTGAACTTTCTCTCAATCCAGATGATTCTGTGAGTTCTGACTCTGTGTTCTCGTATCTTTCATCCAGTAATTATTTGGTGCTAATCTAATTTTGTTGTTTGTACTTAGTAACTGGTGCCTTTCTTGCATGTTAAATTTTATTCCCTTAAACTGCCTTGTCATTTTTTGATACTATTCTGATATTTGATCTGATTTATCTTTCTTTGATTACTTAATTGCATTACATTTTTATTTATTTCTGATGTACTAATGTCTAAACTTTTAGTGGAAACTGGAATTTTTCCTCTTGTTAATATATCAGCATGCATGCATTCTTTAGTTTTACATTTTATATATAAATCAATACCGATGATAGATTTTTCAAATTACGGGACTTTCCAACCCCTTTCTCCCGATGTCTGATTTGGAGCAATTGTAATATATTTTTTCCAGTGAGAGAAAAGGCATTAGGGGTGTAACTGACGTCTGACCCCTTTCCGTTGTCTCCACTAAAAAGCACCCAAATTGCAAACAAAGGCTCTGAATTGTGTAAAATGGATGTAGAAATTAAAGTTTCCTTTTTTGGGTGGTGAATATCGAAATAAAATTGTGACAACCTAAAATTGATTTGTATAAAGTTGAAGTGCATCTTGAAACTACTTAACGATAATTAAGCTGCAGCTGCTGATTATATTGTAGGAATGCTGTATCTGCCTATGTCCATATGCTGATGGAGCAGAAGTGTACCGCCTTCCTTGTACCCACCATTTTCACTGTGAATGCATTGGCCGTTGGCTTCGATCAAAAGCAACCTGCCCGCTCTGCAAATTTAATATCCTTAGAGGTGATACGTTGGTTTGACCTTTCAGAGACAAAGATTGGACAATGGTAATCATCCCTCAAAACCAACATGACACTGGAGAGCCAACACACCCGAGACATTCTGCTGACCGCTGTTGGTAAATAAAAAGTAGGAAAGGAAATGACCCCTTCAGCTTTTACTGGGTTCTAGTCTTAGGATTAGTTTCCATAAAGCACTTGCATCTTCAAGTGCAAAATGTTCTTAATTTTATGACGGAGTATGTAAATATTGTCCGACCGAGGAGAACGTCTCCCCATAAGTTGTACTTACATTATAAGGGATGTTATAAAAACAATTTTTCTGTACAGAATTCATTTTTTGTTTGAGCTCTTTAACCACCTCCTCCACCTTAAACCTATAAAATAGTAGGATGGGAATGGGAAAAGGGAGGCGAAGAATCGTAATGGATCTTGGATAAAGGGTGTTAGGATTGGCATTTGAATTCTCAATTCTCACCCTTTCTGATGGAGTAAACTTTCCCATCTCTGAAAATATTGTATCATCGAATTTAATGTCAGTTTCCACCGAAAAGAACTGTACTAAATACTCCATACAGGCCTTAGAACTTCTTCCTTTCCTCGACCTCCGAATGTATGAAGAGTTTGTACACTCATATTTTCATCACAAATCATCATGTATATATATATTAAGTTTTTAAAGTTTACAATAAGTACTTAAAAAATCGTATTTTAATTAGTTTGCATTGTAAATTAAACTCTTTTTTGATTGCTTAACCTGCCAATATAGTAGAGAACAAATTCCCGAACAATCTAAACTGCATAATGGAATTCATAAAGGCAGCATATGTTCATCTAGCGTGTTCATATTGGGTTGAAAATATACCAAATATCAAATAGCAGAAAGACTCATTAAGATTCATCCATTTTAATGGCATGACCAGTTATGTTAACATGGATTTCAAATAAAAACCCTAATTCACCAAATCATGGAAAGCTAAACAGACAAAACACGATTCATTGAAATTAATAAATTTGTCAAAATACACGGTGGATGGCAAAACAATTACAGTGAAAATAAAATGAGAACAAGCTTAAACCTTCATAAAGCAAATTGAAATTAAAGTAATAGTTTTCATAGATTATCATACATTCTTCAATTTCTTCATCTTAGAAGGTGGCCATCTACCCTTCTTCCTCAACTTGCGCTTCCGAAGAAGCCTTTTCCTTCGCAACCTTATCTTCTTCGCCAGCTTCATCCTCAGCTTCTGCTCCTCTCTCTCCTTTACCTTTGACTCCAAAGGAAGCTTCTCCACACTCACGCCACTTTCTTTCTCGCTCTCCGCCGGAGGAAGCGCTTCCACCGGCAAACTAGAGCCGTCTGCGGCGGCAGAGACAATCAGCGCGCCTTTCTTCCCTCTGGGTGTCGTGATTCGAACTCCGTTCAAGGGCTTCGAGGGCTGAGCCACGTGTACTCTCAAAGCTGTCACAGTGGGAGGAAATTAAGAATGGAAAAAGATGAAAAAGTATTATGAAGAAATTGAGGTAAGAAAGAGAGAGAATTGGGAGTGAGGAGTAGTTACCAGTGGGAATGGGAAGTGCGAGAAGGGAGGAAGAAGAGGGGAATGAAGTTTGGAGAGGGGAGAGTGTGAAGGAATTGAAAGAGAGGAGTGCCATGGTTTTTTACGTTTTGTTTGCAAAGTTATTTCGGGGAAACGAAGAAAAAGATAATTGGAAATGGGATTTTAGGATAAGCTACGCCATGGTGTGAGTCCTCTCCACCCACTGACGCTGCCTCTCTCTCTCTCTCTCTCTCTCTCTCTCTCTCTCTCTCTATATATATATATATATATATATATATATATATCAGCAAATACCTGTAATAATAAATTAACCCATTAAGTTTTGTTTGGGAGGGCTTTAGAGTGGCTGAAAAGGAAGGATTTGATTTCGTGGTTATTTGAACAAGGAAAATGATTACATATTCCATATGTTATCCTGAACAATGTTTACATGTTAAGTATAAAAAAAATCGTGATTAATTTTTTATGTATATTCAAATTTTTTGAAGTTAAAAAAAAATTTAGTAATATATCCCACGAAATTGGTTGAGGACACGGATGGGAAAGTATTTGATATTATGAAATAATTTTTCGTGACTGATTCTAAGTAGTGGCCAATAAATGGAAAAGGATAAAATATACTTTTATTCATACGAAGCGTATATAACTTTATTAAAAAAAATTAATTCATAAAATTGTAATGTTATTGTCATTATTCTTCGTTATGGAATGGAAAAAATAAAAAGGTTTTAATTATGAAAGATAATATATTTGCAAATATAGATGGAGTTTGATGGTAATAATCATCTATCAAAATTTGTTGATACATTAACTATACTCAGACCCAAAGCCATATGAAGAATAAATATCACGTCTAATATGGATAATTTTTATAGATGTTAGAATTCAATTAGCATCCCTGTAATTTGAAGGTAAAACAGTTCAAGTAATCCAAAAAATTGAATTAATGACATTAACTTGGAATTTCTCCAAATCGTGTACAAACAACAAAATTTCACAGAAATCCTCGTCATGGAAGCATATGGGTACGAAACAAGAGGGGGTAAGTGCAACAAAACCCACTGCTCCAACACTGTAGGAAAACAAACACAGAACTTAGATGTGTGCAATAAAACCCCATTGAAACCCCAATATGAAGACTCCAAATGATCATATTTTCTTTATTTTTTTCTTCTATTTTTAAGGGCAATGGAAAAATGTGATAGAGCATCTAAAATAAATAATGATATCAGATTATCTTACTATAGAAAAGATACTTGAAAAGAAAATTGAAATAATAACAACAGTTAAATTCAACGTAGACTAACCACAGAAAGCAATGGTCCCTGCTTAAATTTTCCGTGAAATGAAAACGTGATTGGCTTTGGACTGTCTCCAGGCCCTCTTATAAATCCACTAGAACACATAATTGGAAGGGAAAACAATGTCAAATGACATATAATCCAGCATTAAAATAATCAATAATAACAGAGATCAGTAATTGAACCATTTTCAATTCAACCATGAACTCACATTAAAGATGTAGATATAAGAGGTGTCCTTCTTGTATCATATATGGCTATCAGTCCCCTGTACATGTCATCTCCACCTTTAAAAGAAATAGCCAATCGCTCCCCCGAATTATCCCATGCTATCTTTTCAATTCCCTGACTGAATGAAATTATATAAGATAACCAACGGCCACAGTTTCTAACAAACCAAACATGATAACCAAACATCACATAACATAACATAATTCACATCCTGTCAAATATGGTTTGGGAAGGGTAGATGTATGCCACCCTGCTTTAGTAAGCAAAGACTGTCACTAGAATTTGAGCCATGACATCCAGGTGACAGACACAGTCTTAAGAATTTGTTCAGAAGGAATTTAATATAATGACGAGAGTTTAGGAGCACATAAAGGAATTGTTCAACATAAAAACATGAATTCATCTTTACCTTCCTGTCAATGATAATATTTCCGGCAAATCAACAGGTAACAGATGAGCATCTGGAAAGTCACGGATGAGAAATTATCAATATATGACATTTCATAAAGAAAAAACAAAAACCAAAATAATTTGAAAAATTGCACATCATGAATGCTACAACAATCACATACATTAATATTAAAAATGAATTGAGGTTAAGACTACGACTTCAAAACAGAGGGCCGTAAGTCCTCAAAATTTGATAGCATGCTTCTATTGCTGCTATCAATCACTTCCCTTTTCCATCCAACTCACAAATTTTATTACGGGAAAAGATTGGTACTGTTTGTCATGGTCTTTGTTGTCAGCCTTTTTTTGGCAGTGTCTCACTATAAATAGACTTTATAGGTCAGAGACTGTAACACATTTATCCCAGATATCTTTAATAGATTCCATTTCCCTGTCTGACTTTTCCCTTTTCAATTTAGTTCCTATATTTCAATGCCACACTTTCATTTGTCCAGTATTAATATAGCTAAGATACAAAAAGTCAAAAACAACAAACTTAACATATCTTTAAACAAAAAAGGTCAGATACCTAGTGAGGGAGGCTTTGATGCAAAGTGAACAGATCCCAAAGTTGACGATTCAGAAAATGCAAGAAGTATCATGCGCCCATCTGGATCCCATGTTGCTCCCTGATAACATGTCATTGAAAGTAGAAACTAAATAAATGAGCATTTGCTATGAAAGAATAAAACTGTGCTGATCACTTCAATAGTACATAAATGCTAAGTTCTACCACTGAATCTTTTTTTCATAGATATTGTTGCACTCAAGATATAAGAACAGTAATAACTCCTAGTCTCAACCGAAGGTAAAGTATGAGTGATAATAGTACGTATTACATAAAATACAAAGCTTTTCTTCTACAAGAATATGAATGATGGAACATGTCTATTATATGTTCAATCTCACTTGTAATTAAGGAGCTGTTTTAATGGCTCATTATAGACGTTTTGATAGAACAGAGGGAAAAATCGAGGTGCAAGTAAAATTTTCCCAAGTTTATGGGTGTGACTATGGCCCTAAACTTTCTTTTGGCATACAATTAGGTTTAAGGCTTTTCAGTGTTCTACTGATGGTTTATTGAAGGGAGTCACTGGTATTTCTGATTTGTGGAGTTATCAAAAACAGTGAAAAATATGTTAATTCTTTTTTTGCTCCAAAGAAGGGTTAGATTGCAATTAGCAATTAAAGATTTTCTTTTTTGCCTCTATATTAATTCAGCTCCTTAAACACTTAATTAATCCTTGATCTCTTCTATGGTTTCTTCAAGATATTCCATCATCCTAGCATGGACATTCTTTCTTGATAATAAATTCATCTTTTATTACGAAAGCAACATTACCCATCACCCTAAAATAAAAAGGTATGTTATAGCTCTTACATTTAAGCATAACTCAAATTTTACACTGAATACTATTGAAGATAATTCTATTTATACTATCAACATATTGTCAAACATATCAACACACTGGAGACGGTTAAGGACTAGATGCCACTTGCTATAAATAGGTCTTTGAGCACCAAAACATGAATGTAAATTTCATATACCTTGACAAAACCACTTGCTGATGACCATTGTTCTGATGTCCACGTGTTTGTCTCCCAAAGATAAAATGTTCCATCACTGAACGAGAAAAATAATGATGAGGGTGTGAATCATAAACAGTGCATGTTCAATAAATAATCATGTTTCACATTTTGCATTACAATTTTGAAGCAAAGAAGTAATCTCCAGTAGGTGACCACTTCAGCATTGATATGCCTCCCAATCCCCGCCGAATGGGTGTCCCTACAGCTATATATAATATCAAAGTAACCAGAGATTCAGAAATTAGAGACAACCATTAGAGCTTAAGATTTTTTATATGACAATATAAATTTTTGTGGTCTCATAGACAATCCAAAATTCAAGTAAAGGGTTGTTTTACGCCTTTGACAGCCAATGTAAAACATTTTGATATCCTGGACATAAATTACTCATGACAGATAGGAAATTGTTAAAAGAGATTTAATGGTAACTAATATATCTTAGATTTTGATTTCTAACTGAGCCCAACAACATCATTTGACATAAGTAATGGACCTCAACTAGTGAGATAAGAAAGTCATCGTCACTGTTGCTGATGAACAACAAAATGCCAATCTAGATATAAACACAGTCCTCACCCGCCATGCTCGAA